GAACCCTCATCCTTTGCTTTGCTCATTAGCTCTGTGCCTCCTCCCAAGGACTGAATCTCTGGGGACGTGGGAGCGGCCAGTTCCCAGCGTCCTGCCCTGAGCCTACCGCCCACAGCCCACACTCAGTCCCCACCAGTGGCCCTGTGGGTCCCTCTGGACAATCCACTGACAGATGTGGTCGGCCCTGACTCAGGTCCCACAGCACACTGACCTCTGTGCCTCCCTGTGCGCCCGAGACATCACGCTCCAGACCCGATGGTGCTGGAGAGACGACGTTCTCAGGACGCTGCCTGGCACACCAAAGCCCTCAGCAAACACCTGCTCTGTTGCCCTCAGGAGCTGGGCAGGGCCAGGAATGGGGGGCAAAGACGGACCCCGGTGTCATACCTTCCCAGGAGCCGGGTGATGGTGTTCATTTGGGGGTGTGAGGGTGAGAGAGCTGCTGCGTCCCCGTGGGACAGGCGAGCCACAGCCCCAGATAGGGCCCATCCCTGGCAGAGCCTGTGATGCTCATTTTCAATTTCATACTTCTGGGGAGAAACAGGCCTGTTTTGGCTCCTGGTGTGGAAGGTTTATGCAGATTCCAGGGTCCTTGGCATCAAAATAAACTTTGTTGTGTTTGGTCCTGGCCCTGGGGCAGGTAGGGTGCAGAGGTTAGAATCAGGGGTCAGAAGGAGCCCAGCCCAGACTCCCTGCAGACTCACAGCCCAGGAGGTTCCCAAACCAGCTCCCGACCATGGAGGAAACTGAGGCAGAGAGGGGCGTGGAGGCTGGTGACCACGCAAAGGAGAGCCACTGAAGAAGAGAGACTCACAAATCCGGGCAGCAGACACCTGGGCCTGTGTCTTTCTGTCTCAGTCCTAGCTCGAGGCTCACCTTGGGGCCGCCTGAGAAAGTCCCCCTCCCATGGCCTGCCTATGGGATGAAAGGTGCCACGAGGAAGCCAGCAAGGCCCAAGGACAGACACGGTCCCAGGGAGAGACACAGGGAGGTCTGGGGCTGCCTCCAGGGAGGGAGGTGCCCAGAGAACTGCCCCACCGGAGCTCTGTGGAGAGCGTTTCCAGGGTGAGACTTGCTTGGTCCCACTCCAGGGAGTCAGTCTTGGGCCGGGCAGAGTGGAGAGCAGGGGCTGAGACGGGGACACAGGAGGAGCGCACGGGAAGAGCCCCAGGCCCCAGGGGCAGGTGACCTGTCCAAGGACGCACAGCTGCCAGGCTCCTGCCTGGGCTCCTCCCTCCCCAGGGAGACCTGGGCCACCGCAGGCTCCAGGGCCACTCTGGGACAGTGGCCTGGCTGAGTAGTCTCGAGGCGTGGGTGCAACTGCAGACACCCTCCCCCCAGCATCAGGCACCCACTCGCAGATGCATCTGGATCTGGGCTCCCCACACTCAGTTTCGTGGGCATGGATGGCACCAGGTAGGGAGACAGGCTTGGGGACAGCAGGAATGGGGTGGTGTCAGGAAGACAGCCAGTGCACAGGCAGTGTGAACCCAGGCCCAGTGCCCAGACCACGGGAGGTGACTCTGCAGCTGGGCCCCGCAGGGACTGACAGACCAGGAGGAGCTGCGATGATGGCTAAGGCAGCAGCTGGGCCCCACAGGGGCTGACAGACCAGGGGGACAGTGACGACGGCTAAGGCAGCAGCTGTATTTCAAATACTGAAGCAATGGCCTGGGGGGCGGTGGGGGCCTGGCCACTTCTTTCGTGCATTGCTACCTGTCTGCAGCCCCCCAGCCACACTGGCCTTCTGGTCTATTCTGCAGGATCCCAGCTCCTTCTACTATCTGGCCGACCCTCAGGGCTGGGGCTTGTAGGCAGCCAGCTGACCTGTGCACCCACCAGGGCTGTCCTCTGTCTCAGCGCAGCCACGTGCACACTGAGACTTCCTTTATTTCCCGGATATGTGCTGGCTGCAGCCTGTGCCCGGCACGGGGCACACAAACATCTGACAAATGAACATGCGAACAGCCCCCAGCCTGCCCAGTAAAGAAAGGAAGCACTCTGAAGGGAAACGAGGCTTTTCTGTCTTCTGCCCAGGAGGCAGACCAGGGGCCGATAGACAGCAGCTTCCCAGGGTCTTGTTTCAGCTTGGCCTGGAGAGCAGGCGTCAGCCATGGGGTCCTTTCTGGAGAGGCGCAGAGATGCCCCAGCCCGCAGGGAGATGCTCTCAGCAGCGGGGAGGGGGCAGCATCTGGGGTGGATTTGCACTCTCGGACATGGCCATGGCCATGCTCTCAAATCCCCACTCTTGCCCCTCCACCGAGGGAAGGGATTCTCCATCCTCCTGCAGGAAGCTGTTGCCTCACTCCTGTGGCACCCAGTGGGGGCCACTTGGTCCAGTGGCAGTGAGGGGGGATGCCCTCAGTCTCCCGGTGGCCTGGGAAGAGGAGCTCAGGGCCCGCCACAGCCCAGCCTGGGAACTTCAGTCCCAGGACAGTAATTTGCACACACAGCCTTCCTGAGCAGCGCTCTGCAGCGCCTCCCAACTTCACCGATGGAAACCTGGTGATCCATAACCCGTGTGTGGCAGACGCCTGCTCGGGGGTAATGTGGTGGTAATGTACATATCGATGATCAATCAGCAGATTTGCAAGAGAGGCATAAAGTATTTAATTATAATTGTGTTGGGCAAGTCTGCGTGGTGGCGGCGACATTTGAATAGGTCACAGCCAGCCCTCACCCCGGTGATGTTGTTGGTATTAAATGCCATTCACTCTAAGGGCTGGGAACCTTTCTGAAGTTGCAGGATGTCACACACTGGCAAATTGAAAATGTCCCTTTGCTTTTAAAAACATGATTGATATCCTTTGCAAAACAAACGCTACACCTCACGGTGCACAGATTTCGCTCAGTGCCACCCTGGCCTCGCCAGCTGCTGCGTCGGCGCTTGGCCCTGGATGTGTGTGCAGAGGGGAAGTGCCACAAAGAACGTGCTTCGCTTTCAGGCTGAGGCCTCCAAACTGTCCTGCTGAAGGCAAAGGGTTTTTGGTTCCAAATCAGACTTTTCTAATCAGAACAAAATGCAGGAATAAAGCTAGAACCCAAAAGATAAAACATACATTTTATTTGCTCAGTTGGTAGCAGAAAAATATATCTTCGGATACTCTATAAGCCACATACTTGTGTGTAAGACCATCTGCATCTTACCATCTAAATTATATCCAGTATAATTTAAATTGATGCTTTTAGCACAACCAGCAAAGGGATATAAATAACAGGAATGCAGACAGACACATGACACACACCCACGATACACATACACACGCACCCGCATGCACACGGCCACGGTGACAGCCTGGACAAGCCAGCCCACCTGAGCCACACACCCGGGCTGCAAGTCCCTAGTCCATAAAATGAGCATGAGAGCAACACGCCCATCTCCTAGGACCCGTGTGTGGCCAGGGAGGCAGCGCCTGTCCTGGGACTCAGCTCTGTGCCCGGCAAGCGGTAGGAGCCCCACGGGCTTTGGCTGTTTGAGCAAAGAGTTCTGGAAACAAGCACCTGGCATTTGCAAAGGAGAGTTGTCTACAATGCAGGCTCATTTCTGCCTTCGAGAAAGGGCATTTGAGGCTGGGCTCCCTGTCCTCCTGCCAGGCCGAGGCTGCGGTCGGCAGGTCCTGGTGTGAGTGGCACGTAACGGAGCCGGAGGCCAGGCTCTTCACTGCATTTGCCAGGAACGGCTTTCTTCCCTCTTCTCAAAACAATTAAGAGGACACATCGAGTCTCTATTTACAGGGTAGGTGGGTGAAGGAGTACTTGGCTTTAACAAAATATCAAGCCTTCTGAACAGAAGTGGAGCCAGGGCTAAGCGTGTCTTTTGCATGATTCAGGCCTGTCTAGCAGCCTGCCTGCCTTCATGGACTCCTGCCCTCGTTTTTAAGACAGTCTGATAAAACACAACTATTTCATTCCCAATCGAGACAGCCAGCCTTCTTGGGTGTGCTTCTGCCGTTCACAAAATAAGCCAATCGTTGTCACCTAGTGAATCAGATTAGGTATAATAGATACTAATGTTCAAATTAAGTCATGGAAAGCAATTAACTCTGCAAAAATGGGCTGGTGAGAAACGATAAGGTTGGTCAAATAGTTTCACTGTGTATAATTGTGTTTTTTAAAATGCCCATCTCTACACAGTAATTAAATCATTTACATTTCAAATGGAGTGTACCCACCTCGGATGCTTGTGATCGCACACGTCCTTAATTGGACACCTCACAGTGTAGCGGGGGTTTTATCAACAGCCTGCTCTTGGGCAGGCTCAGAAACCTGCTACATGGAAGGTGCCGGAGTAGGGGCTCCCTCCCTGCTCAGAAGAGTCAAGGGAACTGGGCTTGCCCCAAGGATCGCCCCCCAATCCAGGCCCCTCCCTCGCACCCTTCCTTCCTTCTTTCCTGTATAAAAAGTACAAGGGATTCCTAAACCATCATCAAAATACTCTGCCAACAGCACAAGGAATATTTGTCAGTTCTGATCACATCATCTGTAACAGGGACACCGTCATGAACATTGGGGTAACTAATATTCACAGGATCAATTAGTATCAATCTTTACTGTGCGCACTTTATTAGTATTTTTAACTATAGGGAAGATGTTAACCAGCCTGATTGACAGTTTACTGAGCACGCTGGCAACTTTCGGGTTGTGCTGTCTACCAAGGACGTTCTTAAACCGCCAAGGAATTTTCATCACCTTGACTCTAGGGAATAGGACCCTAGGTTTCTATTCCGCAGAGCAGGATACTTGGTGGATCTCCAGCAACCCGTAAGTAAAACTGGAAGCCAGTAGGGCTTTCCCCGCAGGGAAGCTTTTTTCTGAGTGCACAAAGTCACAACCCCACAATACCTCTCCTAAGACAGACCTCTGCCTTTCCCTCCAACCCAGGCTGGTCTCTGCTGTGAGCCATCAGTCTGCGAAGAAGTGACAGCCGGTGGCAGCGCTCGGGCTTCCTGGCTCAGGGGAGGGTCTGGCGGGAAGACCCAGAATGGTTGTGCAACACCAGCTCACACTGTCCACAAGTGGAGGTTCACCTGCGGGGCCTGCAGCCAGGGGTGTCTGCCCTCAGGCGCCCAGAGACTGGGCCCCGGAGAGGGGCCGGGCGCCGAGAGGATGTAGTCAATGCTGAACTTGATGTCCCTGGGGTGCGCCTTCCCCGGGCTGGCCAGGCTGGCTGCAGATTCTTGGGGCCCGGCCACTCCCGCGCCGTCTGGGGCTGGGGACCCCCGCGCAGCAATCGGCTCGGAGGGACCCCCGGGCCCATCAGCGCCTCCTGCGCACGAACCCCGCAGCCCCTCCCGTTTGGGGCCGCGCCGCCGCCTCCTCCGCCGGTAGTTGCCGTTCTCGAAGAGGTCCAGCAGCGACTCGCAGCCGCCCGCGAACGTCCAGTAGTTGCCTTTGCCCTTCTCGTGGCCCTCGGTCCGCGGCACCTGCGTGGCGCGGTGGGGCTCAGCGGTGTGGCCCGTGCGCCCCACCCCGCCAGGTGCGCTCCCTCACCGGTCAGGTGGAGGCGCTCCGCTCGCCAAGGGCGGACTGCGCTGCTACCGCTGTGACACGCTGTGACATCCCTGCCGGTCCCCAACCCCAGGGACAACTCGGCCCAGGTGTCGCCGAGCTGGGGAGACGGGGCGGACGGGGGTAGTTCGGGGGCTGGGGCAGTGGGGCGGGGAGCTCACCTTGACGAAGCAGCTGTTGAGGGACAGGTTGTGGCGGATGGAGTTCTGCCAGGCGCGCTGGTTGGCGCGGTAATAGGGGAACTTGCGCATGATGAAGTCGTAGATGCCCGACAGGGTCACCCTGCCCGCTGGGCTCTGCTGAATGGCCATGGCGATCAAGGCAATGTAGCTGCGAACCGCCGCCGAGCCAGGGTGTCGGTGACCCCGCAGCACGCTGCTCGCGCTCCCACCCGGGCCCCAGCGGCTCTACCCCGCACCTGGAGCCCTCCCCGGGGAGGCTGAGAGAAACTTCCCACATTACCCCCCAAAGTGCCCACAAATGCGTCTTTTCTCTGAGCCCCGCCCGTCCCTCTGCCTTCCTCGGTCCCAGGCAGGTCCTGGCTACCTGAGCACCCTGCAGAGGAGGGTCGCTGTCCCCTAAAAAGCCCCTACCATTGACCCCTGCGGTCACCTGTATGCGGGTCGCGTGAGCCGCTTTTCCTCGTCGGAGCTGCCGGCAGGGTAGTCATCGGCATCGTAATTGAAGCAATTGTAGGGATACTGCGAGCTGTCAAACATCGCGATGCGCCGGGCACTCGCGGGTGCCACTGCTGCCGCTGCCGCCTCCTCCGCGCCGCCCGCCGGCCGCCAGCTCTGCGCAGAGGTCCAGGCAACGCGGGCCACAGCTTCTGCACTGCGGGTTGCTCTCGCCCGAGCGGGGAAGCCTGGGCTTCTGGGGTCCCCCGCCGCCCCCGCCCCGTTCTCTGGCGTCCAATCCCGGCACGGGGGAGGCCCCAGCCACTGGTAAAGCTACCGAGGGGAGCGGAGGGGGCTGTCTCAGCGACCCTCTGACCCGCTGCGGGAGGAGGGAGGAGGCGGCGCGCTGGGTGGTCTGAAGGCGGAATGGCCACCCGCTGCCTCCCGCTGCCTTCCCCGCCCTCATCTCAACCCCTGGGCTCTCTGGCTGTCCCTGTCCCCAGAGCTAGAGGTGGAGCTGCTCGCAGGTTCCCACACTGGTAGAAGTGGTTCTGGGACACAGTGGTTCTTCTCGGGTGCTCGGATCCCTGGGGCAGACACCTGGGCACTCGGCAGAGTGGGCAGCCAGGCCAGGGAGAGCCACCGTGGCATCCCCGCCCCCCCAACCTGGCCGGCCCCACCTCTTTCCACCCCAGAGTAATGGGGTCTGGGCAGAATCTTCAGCCTGTGGGCAACTCCATGCCCAGGTCACAGATCAGAGCTGGGCCAGGGGCCCAGGGTCCACATTTCCTCTGGCACCCTGTGCCCCCCCAACTCTCTCATGCCCAGAAGTGTGCCCCCTCCACAGGCCGAGGGCTCTGGGGCACGTGCACTGGCAGCCCTGCAGGGTGACGCCTCACCAGCAGGGTGGTGCCTTCGGCTCCAAGCTCTGGTTCCATGGTGGGTAGGTACATGCAGGAGAGAAGGGCAGCCAAGAGGTCAGGAACTTCGAGGACAAAGTAAAGAGATGGCCCTTTCACAGTGGACAGGCCACCAAATGGCATTTCCAGAAATTACCTGCAGAATTCTGACTGTGAGCCCTGCCTGCGAGTTTGCCAGAGGCCAGACAGCCTGGTGTACAGTTTTACTACAAAGTCCCTTTAAAGCGGCACCTTGAGCTCTGAAATGACCCATGCTCAGACCAGCCTGCGGGCCCCAGGAGTGCCTGGTGCTGGGGGGCCTGCAGACCTGGCTCAGTGTGGCCGGGGGTCCTCCTTGGAGGAGAAGCGTGGCACGCCCAGGCTCCCCCAGCCACAGGCACCATGCTTGGGGCACCATGGCTGCCTGGCTTCTGCTTGGGACCCTGAGTCACAGGAAGTCTCAAACACATTCAGTGAGCACGCATTGTCCTTGAAATCAGATACCAACACTCAAAATGCTGGCATGTGGAAATGTAAAATGCCACAGCCACTCTTAAACAGGTGGGCAGTTTCATCAAAAACTAAACATGTAACCACCATAAGACCCAGAAATTACACTCTTGGACATTTGTCCCAGAGGGTATCCCAGGTTACGTTCACATAAAAAGCTGTATATTCATGTTTAAAGCAGCTTTATTTGTAATAGTTCCAAACCGGGAACAACCGGGATGTCCTTCAGCAGGTGAGTGGTTAAATAAACCGTGGCACATCCATACTGTGGAACACTCCTCAGCAGTGAAAAGGAACAAGCCCTTGGTGCATGCGACACCTGGGTGAATCTCCACCTGAGTGAAAAATGTCAGTCTCAGAACGGTATGTACACAGCTCCACGTGTGACGGTCACGAGAGCTGAGGCAGAAGCTGCATCACCGTTCGTGACTGGGCTTTGGCCTCCTCAGGGTCAGAGGCCCAGTCACAGGAGAGAGGACAGAGGAGAGTGAGGCCACATTGAGGAGCGCAGGTGGGATGGGTGGCGCTGTGCAGCCACCTTAAGAACAGGCAGTCGCCACAGAGGGTGACAGGACTTGGCGGGGGCAGAGGGAAGAGGGGGAGAATAAGGAGAAGAACCAACGAGTCTCCCACTTGGAATGAGCCTGTGGACCAAAAACCGCAGGACACACAAGGAAACCTAATGCTACGAAAGATGGCCACCAAAATCAATGACTGGAGAAGGAATTCACTCCTGACAAAATGAATTTTGTAGAGCAGTTTGACAAAAACCCAATGGCTTAAAATAAGCGGTTGATTCCGTATCGGATGTTCGATTTACAGATACCTTCTCCCATTCTGGGAGTTTCTTTTCACATTCTCAGTGGTGTCCTTTGCTGTGGAAAAGTTCTTCATTTTGATGAAGTCCATTTTATCTGTTTTTTTCTTTTGTTGCCTGTACTTTGGTGTCATATACATGAAGTATGTGCCAAATCCAACATCATGAAGACTTTCCCTGATGTTTTTTCCTAAGAGTTATACCATTGAGCCACAAAAAGGCATGAAATTTTGATACATGCTTGAACACGAATGGACTTGAAAACGTCACACAGAGTGAGATGAGCCTGGCATAAAAGGACGGACACGGTGTGATTCCACTTACCTGAGGGCCCTAGAGCGGCCAGATCCACAGAGACAAGGTGGGAGAGAGGTTACCGGGGCTGGCAGGGGAAGGAGGCATTATTATTTCGTAGGTACGGAGCGTATGTTGGTGATGACGACAGTTGTGGGTGTGGACAGTGGCGATGCGTACACAGCATCGTGAACGTATTTAATGCCGCTGAACTGTGCACTTACAGGTGGTTAAAATGATAAATATTATGTATAGTTTACAACCACAAAAACAAAGAGTGCTGGGAATGTTTGAGGAGATAATTAAAGCATAATGTCCTCTTAAAACCAAAACAAGAAGAAATCAAGCAAGATCAGCGGACGTCGAAAGCTGCTGAGGACTCTGGCGTTGCTAAGGTGGGAGAGCGTCCCTGCTGTCCTTGCGGCAGTGGACACAGGGCGATCTGCACAACCTCAGCTGCTCCAGAACCGGAGAGAGAACCGAGGCCCCAAAGCAATGAACCCAACTCCAGGAAGGACAGGTGCCTCCATGGGGACGGGCGCTGAGCACCTGCACATGCCGCCGGCGAGGAGAATCGTGAGTGAATCGCAGAAGGCATGTGTGGCCAGGGGGAGTTCAGACCCCTGAGGGGGTAGGCGGCAGGGAATCTGCATGTGGGCTCCTCTCTGGGACCCCAGGATGCTCAGAAGAAAGAACAGGGCAGGTGAGAGACTGGGAAGCCTCCCCGCTTCCCTCCGGTAGGCCTGGGGAGGGACTTACAGCAGCTGCCAAGAAAGACCAACCGCACCTGGGGGGAGAGGGTGGGGACAGCCCCCTGCCCTGGGGAGATCCTCTGCAGCTGAGGGAGGGGAGGACCCTTGAGAGCCCCCCCACCCCTCGAAGAGACCCTAAGACCTAAGACCTAGGCTGAGCCAGAACCACAGGGGATACCCCAGACCTCCACCCCACCGGCTGCCCCTACCGCAACTCCAGCGCACGTCCTGTAACAGGTCGCAGCATCCCACTGCCTGGGGAGAGCTGCAAGCGGGGAGAGGGACCTGCCCAGGAGCAAAGGAAGGTCTGACATGAACCGCGGAGCAGACAGGGAGAGAAGCCTCTGACGCGCCAGCTTGCCCCCGAGTACCAGCGCAGCTGGGGGACTGCAGCCCATGTTGCCCTGAGAGGGGCAGGGGATGTAAACTAGCTCAGCCAGACAGGAATGACACCAGGGGCCCAGCAAACACAGGCTAGCTCCTCTCTGGACACAGATGCATTTATCTGTTCCTGCTGCCCTGTACAAGGTGTCCAGTTTTTAGCTCCAAACTTACAAGACACATATGTAAATAAAAACAACATACTGGGCCTGGCACGTGGCTCGTGCCTGTAATCCCAGCACTCTGGGAGGCCAAGGCGGGAGGATCACTTGAGCTGAGGAGTCGGAGGCTGCAGTGAGCTGTGATAATGCCACTGTACTGCAGCCTGGGTGACAGAGTCTCACTCTGTCTCAAAAAAAAAAAAACCCAAAACCAAAAACCAAGCAACAACAACAATAACAAAACCACACCGTTTATGGACAAAGCATTTAGCAGACCCAGACTCAGGTGTAAAACAAACGTGGAACTACCAGACAGGTAATAAAAATAACTACGACTAATGTGCTAACGGCTCCAGTGGACGAGGAGAGCAACGTGATAATCAGATTGGGGAACTTCAGCAGAGAAGTGGAAACTATGTCACAGTCTCAAATGTGACAAAGGAAGAACTAGGTGACCGGGATGAAGGTGGCTCCACGGGCAGCCTGGACATAGCAGAGAAACACCAGTGTGCTTGAGGGTCAGGCACTAGGACTTCACAAACTGAAATGGAGGCAGAAAGGAGAGGAAAGTGAGCAACTGCGGGCAGTGGGACGATGCTAAGTATGTAACAGACGTGTTAGAATCCAGGAGGGACGCAGGAGAGAACAGGGCAGGAGAAGTATTTGAAGAAACAACAGCCTAGAAATTTCCAAAGTCAATGAAAGACTCAAACCGCAGATCCAAGCTTGGAGAATGAGCAGTATAAACACACACACATCTGTACACAGCTGGCACTTGAGCAACACAGGTCTGAGCCATGCGGGTCCACTTACACACGGGTTTCCTCTGTCTCTGCCACCCCCGAGACAGCAAGACCAGCCCCTCCTCCTCCTCAGCCCATTCACGTGGAGATGGTGAGGATGAAGACCTTTATGATGATCTAGTTCCACTTAATGAATAGTAAATATATTCTCTCCACCGTACTATCTTAATTTATTTTAAGAATACAGTATATAAAACACATAACGTCCAAAATATCTGCTAATCAACTATTGGTGTTATTGGTAAGACTCCCAGTCAACAGTAGCTATTAGTAGGTGAATTTGGGGAGAGTCAAACATTCTATGTGGATTTTCAACTGAGCAGGGGTTGGTGTCCCTATCCCTGCGTTGTGCAAGTGTCAAATGTATATTTCATTCAGTAATCTCGGTCCCTGTACAAAAATTAACTCAAAATCGATTATAGACCTAAATGTAAAATTTAAACCTATAAAACTTCTAGAAGAAAACACAGGTGAATATCTTCACA